TATATGCTAGTGAAATAAATAGGGTGAGCGAGCGAGCGAACGAGAAGGGAGCAGAGAGACTTTCGCTAGGGGCAGATGGGGAGCAATGGCAGGTGGGCAATAGGCGCAACCTAAGTGAAAATGCGAGGCAAACAAAAATAAGAAGTGGATATTTAGTACGATTAGAAAGCCTAAAAAAAGATGAGAGTACATTAATGCGAAAATGACAACGCCACGGCGATACAGAAGCAGAAAATGACGCGAATGCGAGCGAAAGAAGGAACGGACAACAGCCAGAGAAGTCTGTCTTCAAATTCTATGCATAAGCAATTAGAAATTAAATAAAACGTGTTATGATGAAAATAGTGACTGAGTCTTTACTCTTACGTAACGTAATGACTATAGCTAGTTAGATTAAAGTTTCATCTAGATACAATACAACTCTTCATATACGTTCGTCGCGGCTTATTGCTAGTTTATTTCTTGAAGATCAGGCCAACAGGTAAACAACGCCTCAGTTCCGTATTATTCAGGGTCACACTGAGCTCATTGTCACAAGAACAATAGAGATTGAAGATTTAGTCGATCCAAGTACAATCCACTCCTCTATTCAGCTGCTACTGAAGCACAAAGTGTATAGCACACGGCTTTGATCGTTTAGAAATGGAAACGGCCGAGGCTCATGGTCGAGGTGATCATTTTCGGCTGAATAGAGTCCACCGTAACAGGCTGACGGACATTGAATACAACGGTTTTATAACGGTCTGGAGAGTGACTACGATATGGTTGCAGCTAAGAAAGTACCAACGTTACTGAAACACAGCTTTCAAATCACAGTATTTCAAAAACTGAGATTTTCTACAGAACTAAACTTCTCCTACAGAATTTTGTCAACAGTGGCTGCTTATAACAACGGCCTTTGTAAGGTCAGCTAGCCTAGCAGAAAACGTCCTGATAAAATCTGATAGGGGTTCGCTCAAAACATGGCCTCGCTTATATCCTGCACTCTGACAGGACATCCCCTGTTTATGTATCGTTAGAACATCGCGTCCAGTTCGAGTTTTGTAGATGTTGAGGCGAACTTTATGGCAGATGATGATTTGAACCATGTGCATTAAGCAGTCCAAGTAAACACGCCATAATACGATTGCCTAAGGCACTAACGCATAACAAGTAATACATTTTGATTTTAGAAAATGGGTTATCTTTAAATGACCTATTCTTTTAAATCTCTAGAATAATTTTGCCTTCGACAAACGAGGTGTCGATACATACCTCATTACGAAATTGCTTAGAGAAAAGCCAAAACTGCACATTTTGTATTTATTTAAATTTGCTACTTTTTGCTGTTAGAATCAGTGTCATGGTAGAGCTTCCTGAAATAGTTACATTTAGCATTTATCTAATAAACGAGAAATCATGCATGATTCTATTACTATGGCAGCTTTGTCGTTGCTCAGATGGAAATATTCAGTCTAAAATATATTATTTTATAAGCGATGCTGTTGTATCTGCGTCTGGCTAGATAGAGTAGCCGTAAGCCCTTGACTTGTTCCCCTCTAAGCGTTTATATAAATAGCGGTGACCGGAAATAGCGGTGATGAGATCAGTCTGGTGCTTCAGCTGTTTCGATCTTCCGAGTGCGTCATGATGAAGTTGTCACTTCGTCTGAGGAATCGACGTGGCAGCTGCTCTCGCCTGAGCGTAATGTTCGACAACCCGTCGACAGTCTGATATTCCGATGTCAGCAGAGAAGATGCACTGATCACCCTGAGTAGTGGCTAGCAAACGCCGCTCCACCGGAACAGCCCCATCATTGAGCATCTGCAGAAGACCTCATCAAGCAAACGATAATTACGAAGCCCGACATTTGATTTGAAGACCGTTGTTGTCATCTACATGATTGCTTATTTAATGCAAACTAGATAAAAGTAATATTGGAAGGGAATGATGGTCCAGGAGCTACTAGTAGTTAGGTCATTGTTCAACGTACGAGATGCTTCCACGCAATGATTTCCAGCTGCGAATTTTACCGCATTTCATAACCCATTTATATTCTACACAATGTGAGAAGATGCCTATGGCAAATGTGCAACACTAAAAAGGTTGGCAAGATATAACACCTATCTCAGCCAATTTTGTCATCTTTGATATGCGTATATATATGTATAATAAGAATGTTCTCAATGCCTTCGACAATCTTACACAGATCCCAAGGAAGATTGCGGCATAAGCATATCTTATAAATTGGCAAAATGGAAAGCAATAACTTTCTACGAAACTGAATGAAACGCTCTGTCACGGAGACGTTTTATATCAACATTTCTTAACGCTAAATCACCGTAAGTATTCCATCTTTGTCATAGATTTTCGAAATTAACTGGTAACAATATTATATGTTTTCCAATGTAAAAGAAACAATTCGAACGGGCATTTCGATGAAACACAATTTCACATCTTGACTATGATAAAAAAAATTATACCAATTTTCCTAGTGACAAGACACTATATGGTTGAGCTTCACATAAAACCATTTCATAGCTATATATTGCATTGACGATTGGGGTAGAAATAAACACTTACGACCAGAATATATCTAGAAGGAGCCAAGACGCTATAGGGATTAGACCATATTTGAGAAAAGAACCTTTTTGTCTGCAGGAAAAATTGACCAATCCACTGTGGATCACGACCCGATTTCGGCAATCAAACGATCATAGAGCTAAATATAAACAGTTCCCTTTGATGGACTGAACAATTAGCATTTTGATCCTTCGAACGACCTCAAGGGACTTAAGAAGGCACCGGTAGAGAATATACTTCAGCAGATGTTCTATTGGCTATAGTAAATAATCCGTATTTACTATAGCCAATAGGACATCTGCCAATACTATAAAAATTCGTATTAATTCTTGCTGCTCAAATTCAGCCAGCGTTAAGCTTGAGCAACACAATCAGATATAATCGCTATTCCGGTCGATTTTGCTAAAATAATGGTCCAAAACAGCGTATGTAAATTAGAAATTAGTCAAATAACGGTGATAACAGGGAAAAGTTCGACTGAAATTCGCAACAGAGCGACCGCCGTGAAGAATACCTTATGAAACGTACCGGTAACAAGAAGAGTGGCTGCTTGCAACGAATAGGAGGATGAAGAGTGGTCTTCGCTTCCTTAGGTTCTTCTTCCCATTCAATGCGTTCCATAAATGGGTACAAATGAGCAACAAATTTTTCCCGATGAGAAGAAGCCTGCTTTGAAATCTGTGTACTAACGCCGTCGAATACGTCACGCTACGAATACGAAAACGATAATTATGTTAAACAACTTACATAAAACCGGCAGTGCTAAAGGAACTGTGTCAGGCTTAGTAAAAGCGAAAAAGGCATACGTGAAAGACAGGAAAAGCTCATTGGGATTTAAATATCAAGCGAAGACTATGTCTATAAAGTGCACCTAAAGAGTACGTTAGTTAAGGCACTGCAAGCGTCATGAAGATAATACCTCTCAAGACCAATAACATAAAATACGATTGAATCCAATAAGCAAGGGTGAACACTTAGTAACTGTGTTTTGTTCTTGTCGAAAAATTATGTTTTAAACAAACAAGTACATCATCCTTAAGTCAGTAAAATCCAGGGGGTAACTAGCTGTGCTCTCACGTGTCTCAGTGGATGGCTGTATGTATGCATTTTCAGATGTACGGTACCCTGTACAGAATAACGTTACCCATGCTATCCCAGTAATGGCTGACTAAGAGTCAAATATTCAAAGGAAGATATAAAGCACACAACTTGTTATTGAACTTCTGGTTTGTAGCGCCATCACTTCACCGATCTTCGAACGTTCTAGCTGTTTAGATAACGGGCCAAAACTAGACGTCAACTCTGAACGCAAAGGGAACAGAATTTTAAGAGGGGTGTCGGCATATTACCTGATAAAGGTAAATATATAGATTTGATTGATTCGTTTAGTTGTAAAGAGAGTGTTCTCGGACATTCTAGAATAGCTAAGGTCGATATTATACAATCCCCTGAAATTAACACGACGTGAACCTGGACTAATATCCAGCAAGGTCCCAATTTTAACTGTTGTAAGAAGAGATCAGAGCAGATAAACAGATGAGAGTAGGTCGTGGATTTGTCATTGCCATTAGCACCTTGGCCTGACTGCTGTCCTTCTGTTGCTGTTACATATCGGATATTTAAGAAGAGAAAAAAAAAAGACCGTTTTGAGCAGTAACATCGATGTCCGAACTATGACACCGAACCAGGACATTATTTCTCTTTCTGACTCAGCACTGCGTACAAGTCGACCTGCTGTTGGAGGCACATGATATGATGAGCCTTAATACTCCGTCGCTGATCCCGGTCGTGCTATATAAAATTACAAAATTTTCTGTTTTGTACACATTCTAGATTTACAAAGCCGTACAAATACTACTTATTATACGTCAAAATACACAGCAGTTATTGTAGTCCCATAATTCGACGAGCCACGAACATTCAACACCGACCAAAAAAAGCCATATTAGTAACGAGAAGGTGGGGCTATATGGGTCAAAATTTGTTTAACGCTACGGCTAAAATCATCGGTGCCGAGCGAAAAAAGGAACATACATGTTTATTCGACAAAAAAAAAGCTGAATTATACTATGACGAAAGTGGGTAATACTACTATTAATTTATTTTTTAGAAAAGCCCATATAAACCCATAGGGTGAGGTTATATGGGCCAGAGCTGGTCATATGTGGGCAATTAATGATTTCGTAGAAGAAATCAGTAATTCAGGGAGTTAACTAAAGGGCAAATGCTTCTTTTTTTAGAAGGGCTACCATTATGATTAAAGAAACCGATATATAAATCCTGCCATGTTAGGCAAATTTGCTACATCATAGTAAGTAAAAACGTAAAAAAAAAAGTAAAAACATGATGAAAGTCATTTTTTGTTCGACGTCTGGTTTAATAAGCGTAAAACTATAACGGCTTATTAGTTTAACATATATACGCATTTTTAGCCAGCTGAGTTCTATTCTATAAATAAATAAATTACTTATCCGTTTCTTTGTAAAGTCAGCATGAATAACATCCGATAGTATATATATGCCCGAAATTCAATGGTCCCAAAAAGGGCCCACGTCACGCTCAGACAACTGCTGTTCAGACTATTGCATATTGAAACGTCCATATATATATATATATATATATTCTTTACAGAAGAAACAAATATATGGACACGTACGGAACGTCATGCATTTCCTTATCTGGTTCAATCTGAAGTTTGCGAAAAAAAAACCGCAGGGTTGCCCCTAGCGGGGCGTGACCAGTTGAGAGAACGACGGCAACAGAAAGTTAAAAGCGTACGCCATAAGCGAGTCCTTATAAGATGTCACTGGCGCTGGGTGCGAGGAGCGTCGAGGTGCGCTGTCAAGATCGCGATAACGATTATGGAACTGTATAGTCACTCTACCTTCTATCCCATGCTTACCGGCTTTTTATCGCTGCCGCACGAACCTTCTTTGGCCAGGGCGGGGGCGACGATGGCGGAATAGGCCTTTAAATCCAACGTTTCCATTAGGGTTCTCTTGCAGTCTTCTGCAAGGCTAGGCCACGTATCGCCTGCCCTCACCGGAAGCTATGGGCTCGTACGGCCAGCAGTAGAGCAGATGAGAGCCTACATGCCCAATGGTATAGAGGTGTAATTACAGTAAAATGAATCAAAGCAGCATAAAAGTTTGCCTAAAGAGATATGCATATTGCTGCTACTGTGTGTTCGCTGCCAGTGGAACATTATAAGGACAATGGCCAAATCAACAGGACAGATTTGTAGGCGACTGAATACGTTGTATTAATAGTTATTATAGCAATAGACACGTAAAAGGTATTGTTCATATTAAACCAGTATCTAATGGTCTCGCTTTTCATATATATATATATATATATATATATGGCGTAGTTAAGCTATATGTTTTGTCCTTATTTCACTATTCGAAAGACCCGGGGATGTCCGAACGTATTTAATATTTACTTGATTTTACGTTAGCGATCTGTTTAGCACTTTGAACTCGAATTGGCACATCAGCGTTTCTATATAAGTAGGTTAAATAAACGGATGATCATCAAGCTCTCAGGCTGTTCATCGTCGTCGCCGTTATCGGTGGAAAGAGAATTCGCAATGTCCATTATCAGTACGTTCCCGACAAACATGGCCACTTCTGCCTGCTCGTCCTCAACTATTTTCCTTTTTCTCGTTCTCCTCGAAAGGGAAAAGCGCAACTCAGTAATCGTGCTGGTGATGATAGTAGTAGTACTACTAGTCAGTGGGTGGAAAAGTCAGCCGGGATGGGGGAGCGGTTGGAGAGACGGAATCAGGAATGGCCAGTGGTTGTTAAGTGTGCTATGTACGTACATGCGTATGTACGGACGATAGCAGGTATTAGTCATGACCGAACTTGAACAGGTAGAGGGTGGATAGTGTAAGCAACTGATTGAGAGGCCAAATCTGTGAGGCTGTGGGGTACAAATAAGGTCACACTCACTTACAGCTCGCAGGTACGGCGGTAATATAAAGGGGACCCGCGGAAGGCTTCCCTCGTTGTTCGCATACTGCGGTAGTCGGAGCGCCTCGCGTTTTTCTATAATAGTCACATAGAAAGGGTAAATGCAGTAAAATACGTTACGCGTCATCTATATGTACACATGGTGTTGCACTACAGCCCGGTCGCGGATCTACTTGAAATGATATTCGTACACTTAAATTGGAAAATCCGACTTATCCAATATGTACGTTTTTTTTTTTCTTAAAAAAAAAACATCTATTTTTTGGGCGCAGTGCTCAAAACAGTTTAGTACATCACACGTACTACATACATATGCTATGACTTTGAAAAACTTTCAATGGCGTTCCGTAAAAAGTTTAGGGGGTACTTTTGTTGTACTCCAAACATTCACGGTATTTATGCAGTAGTAGCTGCGGATACGATACGAGATTTACACAGCTCTTGGCACAGAATTGCGTGATGTATGTTACACACAGGGTTCGCCTATTGGGGCTGTAAGATTCAATTAAACCAGTAGCTCAAGTATTCAGACCATGCGAAGACTCGTACGCTTGCTGCGTCGCTTTCCATTTTGTATGAAGAATAATCTTCTCTGATAATTTATGTTACTGTTCGATTCAAACAGTGAGCAAAAAAAATACCGCATAGTATCATATGAATACCTTCACGTCATTTACCAATGAACATTTTAGATCGCTAAAGTAACCGACCTTTAAATAGGACGTACTATCGCACTGTTTTTTCTATTAAGCTGTTTAAGGTTCTCGATGTCGATGATGATCGATCGACATGTCGATAGACTTCCAGTAGTTGAAACTGGTGAAGCTTACTTTAGACAATATGTACTTTTGACAAGACGGTGCCATTGTATGTACGAATCACTGTATTTATAGAAAAAACAAATTTAATCAATGCACGGGCTGTACCGTGGTCATGGTGTTCATGCGACATAATGTCGTTAAAGTTTTTTGAGTAGCAAGGTGTTTGGGATGAAACGTTCTACAATCAAGAGCTAAAGCGGCGTATCCATCATGACGTGTTAACAATTACGTCGGACTTATGCAGAAACTTTGAGCTTATCAACAAACCTTGAGGCAGTCGCATAATTAAAAACACTGCTATTGGCAATACAGATATCGGTGATACTATGCACGCTCGACAATCTCATGCCATTTACTATAACTGAAAATTGACACATAAGAAAAGTGCAGGACCCCGCAAATACTGTTAGAGTCGTTGGCATCACTTGTAGAAGCAAAGAAAGATATTCGAATGTACAGACAGGCGGGTAATCACGTAACTGAACAGCGAGCGACAGGTAAGGCAGGCAGCTTGCCTAAGCGAAGATGACTGCCCCGGTAGAAAGGACAAACAGACATAAATAGACATCCTACGGTCAGGCATGGCCAGAGATTCGTTTAAGTGATTGAGACGAACATGTTCGATACTAGCAGAGGTCAAAGCTAGAGAAAGCTGCCATCGACAGCCATAGCCCTTTATTGAGTGGTAGGGCAGATGCCCCTAACTATCACTAGTGTGTGCGAGAAAGCACTCAGAGGTACAAGGAGCGGAAGGGGTCGAAAACAACTGCCACAGCTACCCTCGTGTCGAGGGTCAGATGCACCTAAGGGTAGTCGTCTATGCATACACACAGGACTGTGTGTAGGTATATAAAGTTTGGACGTTTAGGTCGTGTTGTATCTTCTCGGGTATGAGCGCACCTGTTTGTTTATGCATGTAAAAGTATTCAGTAACCTGATAGTCTTCTTGGTACATCGCCCTGTCGGCGTAGGCCGCAGTAGCAACGGGTCACAGTGGTGGAAAAGAGTTGAGCGGCGAGACCGGGCTATTTATAGGCTTCGTCCGTTAGTTTGTTGCTGTTACATTCGGAACTGGGCAGATCCAAGGGGATAGATCGTGTGTATGCCGTATAGCTGCCATCACGACAGACAGGTGAGCAAGCAATTGCAAGACGAGCAAGCTGGTAACCAATAAGCCAGCTGTACGGACAGACCGTACGGGACACCACTGGTTCCTGGCAGGACTCTGTTAGTCGACCAACGGCGTCCAGTCGGCAAGAAACCTTTAAGAAGGTATCTCGCAATAAATGTTGAGTGTTATAGCGTAGCATATATTAACTCTCGACTGCCGCTGCTGACACGAAAGGTCGCGTTACGCTTTCTTGTCGCTCTATGGTGTGGTGTGTACACGGACTATATAGAGTTTATTTTGATAATTTCCGTTACCACGACTCCGATAACTCGCAGCGACATGTCGCCACTTATTAACCTTACTGAGTGGCAGTAGGTCTTTGCTTCTTGTTATACTTTTATTATAAGAGTGTATGCACGTACAAGCTCATCTAGCTGTAAGGTGATTTGATATGGACAAGCTTGTGGCAGAAGTTAAGCGTGTCGAATAGTGAAGCCTTCTAATTGATCAATTTGTTGTGTTGATCAATATGTGCACATTTTCTATGCTTTCAACAAGCTCATACACAGCAGCCCAGAGGCTGCAACAAGGCTTGAGGAGGATATGAATACATGAAGATAAGATCTTGCATCTCGGCGAGGTAACAGGATGGAACTGCAGCTAAGAAGACGTCAAAACTTGGCGAGAAGCGCTTTCTTCCAAGTAGAGCGACTTCTTTGAAGCTCTACGTCAAGAAGGATCTTTCGTTCGGAATGATCCTAACTGCCATAGGAACCTACTCTTCTCAAAGCCAATATGCTCAAGCGACATAAACCATTAGCCATAAATCAGGTTAAAAAATATGGTATACCGATAATAGCGTGTGCATGACACTGGATAGAAATACCCATTGTATTGCTATGCAAATGAAGAGTGAATAGGCCGGCGTTCTAGAAATCAACAAATTACACTATCCTATTTCACTGTTGATTAACTAGTGCAGAGACGCAGAAATTATAGTAAGCACACACACACACACACACACGTATACACATATAATAAAAACGGGCCTGGAATGTTTCGCTATTATTTGGCTAGAGGTTCATGATTACCTGTACCTTTCTATCTATTTCTAAAGCGAGTAAAATGAACACATGTCAGTTATCACTTCAGAGCCAAACAGGGAACAAGGTCGAAGATTTACTGAAGTTATCTTGAAGCGTGTCATTTCTCTGATAGCGAACATTGATTTTCGTTAAATAGACCCCGACAGAGAAAACGGTCATAAATCTAACAATTTATTTTTAGCGTATTTTGCTACTGTTACCGAGAAGAAAATAGACCGTGGTCGTGACAGGTGCCCGGGCCTTCAAGCCAAGATCCCAAAAGAGGTCCATTACGGTATTCCACAGCCTCTCGTAATTGACTCCGTCGTGCTTCACGCATACAGTACGCTCACAGAAATACGACATGATCGGCTGAATGCTCGCTGCGAACGAGGTACACCTTTTCTGTAACACATAGATAATAATATTAGTTACTTTACGGGCCAGCTGGCTTTGCTAGGAACTTGTTTTTGCCGCCTAATGTGAACAATATTAAAATTGTCAACCAGTGACGCCCTTTCGCCCAAGTTATCTCATCGTCAGCCTCCTCTAATACTGGCGGATTTGGTAATCGCTACATGCAACTTACATCACTTACGCTCGACAACAAAATGTTGCGGAAGCTATCGTGTTATCGTAATTCTATTTCAATTAATTAATTGTCCTACTTCATTGATCTATATACCTTTGTCCTGCTAGCGTATTATTTTGTAGCATTAGTTTTACTAATAGACCCGTTACGCTAGCTTCACTGCAGTGATCCTATTCTCATACTGAAACCTCGGCCTGCTATACAACAAATGAATTTAATGGATATTAGAGAGAATTTAGAAATAAATTAAGGCTTGTGACATAATAATGTTATCTCATCGCAGAATCCAGTCACAGTAATGATATGTTTCCGACTCAATCGTTCGATCACATCGCTTAGATTCCTTTGCGTTGGGGCTCTTTTTCTTTACTACTCCGTTCCAATTATCAGCTATCTCACTGTGCTAATCTTGTTAGAATTCCAGCTAGAAAAAATCTCCCTTGATGCTTGATTTCTCCTCTCTTGATTGTACCGTTTTATCATTACAATTAGTCCGTTAACATACTGTATAACTTAAAGAAATAACTTCAGTAAGCGACCAATAGCTAACACAAATCTAGACCAAAAAAAAAGTCGGACTGTACTGGAAAGTCGTTTGGAAGTTAAAAAACAATAGCACCCATATACTGCTTCCGGCGATCACTATTCTTGAAGGGACCATCGGGCTGAAGGGACAATTAGGACATCTGCAATGGGTGCAGGCTCCCACTATCGATTCGTTAGCTTTACTTAAACATCGATTCATCGTAAAAATCTTTTGCAACCATATTCAGGTAACATTCTGTTAAGCTACGTGTAACTAGAACCAACAGTATCGCCCCGTCATCTGAAATAGAGCTACAGAAAGTTTAGCTGCGATAAACTGATCGAATGGCGCCTTCTTTGACATTGTCGCGCTCGCACCCCACTGGATCCTACGGACTTGCTCTGTTTCCCTTTCGCCACAGGAAGACCCGACCGGCTTTCATATTAGCTAATTTTAGAAAGTTCTTTTAGAAGTTTTAGAAACTCCAGAAGTTGAATCAGATAAGTTTGTCGTTCCACGTATGTATAATTGGAAAAAGTGAGGAAAGCTTAAAAAGAGATTAAAAGAAGGTCTTTACCCGAATTCGGTTGGCATCACGCTCGTCGTGAGCTCCTTCCACCTGCATGTCAAGGAGAATTTGTTCAGCGTTAGGTGACTGCACGAACAGCTTGCCGTAGAGTGTTAAGGCAAACGCCACTGGCCAGTTTTTCTCAAAGCGTTCAAGTACGGCGCGTACGTTACTCTGGGTTAGACATCTAGAATTCATCGAGAACACGCACACGCAGATGTTATGATCATAATAACACGAGAAGATTAAGGCAAGAAAAACACTTTCCTCTAACCGTCATGGTTTCGCAATGCTGTCCAATTTATAGCTATTGTTATTATTGTATGTCGAAATGGCTCTAAACAAATAAGAGTCTGTTACTGGCATTAATGAACAGCGGTACAATTCACTAGAAGTAATCTATCGAACCCCTCTCGGCATACACCTGCTTTATTTGGAAAAGAAAGTGATCCCGCACAAGACATTGCCTAAGAGCAGGCCGACTTCTTCTATGCACGATCTTTCGCAGAAGTACTTCGGCCTTTTAGGTTCAGCCATCTGTACTTACGAAACCCGAAAGCCAGCATGTACGATCTGTACAGAAAATAGGTGACAGATGAGCCATTATCCGGTAACGCCTTGAAGATAAATTCAAACGTTTGGCAGCTTTTGTGCTATCGGGCCGTTGGGTTGCTGGTGTTAACCAATACCAGCTGCTGATATTGGTGTTTAGCAACACTGAAGCCAGTACTTGCGTCTGCTGCTGCTGCTGTTGCGGTAATGGCACTTCGGCGTTGGCTAGAATCAGAACTAGGCCCGGTACACCGAAAACGTACCGTTCAATGTTCCGAAGGTTTGGCACGAGATCGATGAGGAAACCGGCCTCTGCACTGGCGTTCCGCATTTCCTTCTCCACAATCTGTAGGAGATTTTCAAGTGTCAGCTTGATATTGTCGGAGCGTCTCAACAAAACACTTTCAACATCTATCACGTGCAGCCCGAAACCCTGATGTAGATCACTAACGATCCGGCCCTTGCATGAGCCTGGCCCACCTGTAATTGTAATGATGACAGTATATTAAACTAAAAACTATTTGCTTAACACTATTTATGAGTTATGGATTGAAGCGAAGCTCGATGCTATTATTATTTGATTATTATAGCTGCTGGAAGACGCGGGTGACTCGGATCGGTTGTTCTCGTCCTGGGCAACATACATTATTTCGCCTAATTGGGATTAATTAGATAATGAAAATAAATCAATAAAAAATAATAAAAGTTCCCTACATATATAGGCTAGAAGCAAATCTGTCACTATCACGCTTGAAGACGGGATTGCCTTTGACAGATTTGCTACCTTTATTAAGCGTGTATATATATATATGGGGACTGTGTTTACGTGAGTTACGTGAGCATATCTTACCATAGGATTCATTAAGCGCATAGATTTGGTGTTGTTCACGTCCAAATATTTGGAGGCGTGTCTTAGCATTAGTCCAAAAATCAAAGCGTATCGACGTCACGCTTATTCGTGTCGTGGCTTACTGAATTTACTGCATAAAAATTTCGCAATTCAGCGCTTCCTGCTTAGAATTTGGGCTTTATGATTCACAAGGTCTTATTAGGTTTTTGCTGGCTAAATTGAATATATTTACCTTAAGTTCATTTATCCTAAGCCACATTTAGTAGGCGTTTCTAGCTGACTGGATTACTAAGCTTTCAAAATGCATAGGAACTGCTATTGATGAAGTTCCTAAAAGGAAGTTTCTCTCGCCTGGGTCCGTCTACCACTTCTGGCGTTTGTGAATAGTTCACTGTCGAACCGTACATCCTGTGCAGGAACCGTGCTTTAACGACCACTCGATATTCGGCCGTATCGCTCTCTCAAGTCATATGATACAATGTAGCGTTAACTTTGTCTATAGAAACGCTGCGTGCTGGCGCTGATGTAGCGATGACGCCCGCGCCTGACGAAAATAGTGTCGGTCGTGTGGCAATACGAATGCGACAGTCCTACTTTATGAAAGCCTAATTTTATTTAAACCTCATTTCTGCACTATGATATATATGAATTTATATCTATCTATAAAATGATATAACTATTATTTTATAGATAGCCATAAAATCAGATTAGTACTATGGATAATTTGACTGGATCAAGCGCTCTGTTGCATAGCTGAATAAGAATAAATGCGCGTTTTCTTGCATTTTTATACGAGCAAGTTTTCAGAACTATCTCGTTCAGGTAAGGCAGCAAAGACTTGCCTCCGCCAGGGGACTTAAGGCCCAATCGGGGTGGGTCTCGCTCGACTTATCTAGGCTTTGTGCAACAAACTTATGACGCGGCATGGCAATAACACAAGCAGCTATTAACCTTGATGTAGCCATGTAGTTTATTATTTCCTCATGTTGCGACTTTTTTTAAACTCTTTATTTTCCTTTTTATTAATTTCTCGTAGTGATCTTTCCCAACGCTGAGGTCTAAGCCAACCTGGGAGCATGCTTACTGGTTAGGGTTCAGAAGGACATATCAAACACCTGCACCACGCCGCCTCCCTAGAGAAGCACCTAGAAAAGTTTGATACGCATGTGTTCCCTACTAAATATTTGAACGTGTTTCTATCCACACGATAGTATAGAGAATATTGAATGGGTAAACTTGGTCGTCCATTTAATTACCCTAATTTAGCCTGTCTTCATCCGAGTGCGTAACTACCTTAGTATGACTACCCTTACAAAGGCGGTGAAGTACCTACATAAATACGTGTCGGACTGCAAACATTCTAAGACGCACTAGCCGGGCTGTTTAAAAGGTCTGCACCTCCTGCCCCTTACGCGTACCGTTACTGCTTCTGCTTTACAGTAGATGAAAGAGCTGATGGTAGGCAGGCGGGCGGGCAGGCAGGCAGGACGGTTTGTGCGTTACCTTATTGGAGGACAACGAAGAAACTCTGTTATTATATGTATGCTAGAGAGAGTTCATAGGCTTTCTAACGAGATGCTTGACGCAATACGATCCAGTATGCTGTATCACGTTGACGTTTGCCGGTTTACCAGGCCATCTAGACCACCTTACGCTTTCATTGCACATATATCTGCAGTGACCTCATGGATGTAACTCAAGTGGCTAGCACTTATGTTCGAGTCACGACAGCACAAATACAGAGTAATGAACACGTACAGGCCTGGCGGCGCTAACTTGTAGTATTACGTTCATATTGGCATTACTGTAATATTAATTATTTTTTTCATCAGACGAATATGTTAGTGGGTAAAGTAGCGAGTAATTAGTATTTTGTTTGTTTTTTTACTTCTCTAGCCAGTATTTTAGTTGCGAGCTAGCGTTGCGGAAAACTCTGATGATTACGCTGATTATTTAGATTCCGGTGTTACTATTGGTATTTCTGTGCTTTCTGTTTTATACTCGGAGATTGAATGACGACTGATCAGACGACCGTAGGTGCTGTGTAGTTTATTCAAGCGTTGTTCGTTTGCGTGACGATTGATCTCGTGTCGAGTCACCCCTTCGTCATTATGGATCTCTCAAGCCATCTCTAATGTAGTCCATTTTCGAGCGACGCGTCCTACTACTGCCGTAGAGCTGCAAACACAGCCATTAAAAAGGAACAACGGCACGAGACTGAGTGGGCAATTAATCGCTCCAAGTGAGGCAGGTCCTTCAGAACTCATTTCTCTGTGTAGTCACCATGGAACATCCGTCTGTTGAACACACATGCGAGTTCGAATATTTTTCTCAGAACACACTACAATGACCTGTCGTCTACATGAATAACGTGTGTAATTGTCGCAGCGTTTTCTCTTTGCCAGCAAAATAACATTTGTTGTTACTAATTGGAGCTCATGTGTGGACCTAGATTGAATTAAATGTGGAGAAAGTACTACTAACCAAATACGAAGATAACCATTCGCCGTCTCACATGCCCGTCAACTCGATGCCCAATCGTTACCTTAATTTCATCTTCAGTTGGAATCGACGTAGCTAAAAGCGAACAAGCCACTCCCATTCCCTCTTTTCTGAGTTACCACTAGTCCTAACAAAGACCTAGAGTGAAGTTTGAAGAGTTCAGTACGGGACAATAAGCCTGTGCACCACAACGAACAATGGAAAGGAAAAACTTCATTTAAATAATTTTCAGACGCAATTATTTAAAATGTATAGCTTTGTAAGGACGTCGTCGTCAAATCAACATAATGACAGAAAAGGACCATTGAACATCTAGCAAGTAATCCAGGCAATGCCTGATCAATAGCGTATATCTAAGCAACGGACGTAAAACGCAGTGTTCCCTACTTCATCTATAAGCACGATATGTTCCTTTGCACTCTATGTTGCTCGCGACTCACTAGCTGCTTACAACAGCAGTATCTCCAGTTAGAATTAGCACATAAAACGGTTGCAGTTTACGGAGCGAAATGAAGCTCGCGTCTCACCACTTCGACTGTATTTGACACAATCATGTGCAGCTGTCCTGCCTCACTATGGAGTTTGATATATGTCAATACAAGCCGTAGTAGACATCTGAGCCTTTCCAATTAACCCTCAAGGCCCGATGGCCTGCAACGCCCGCCGCTGCGTTTTCGGTTAACGGCTTCGCTATCTTCTTCTTCTTTTCGTGCTACATAACAGCAGAATGATCCATTGGGGACAATAGATTGTATTATCGTGGTCGCATTCTAAGTGCTAATAGCAACGCCAGCGATACTTGCAGTAATAATAGCTAAAGTGAAAATCGATGGGTTCCGTTTATAAGCTTCCTAGCCCTTTCTCCTTCAAATGCCCAACTCAATCGATGATGCCCTCCTCCGTATGCTACGTTCTAATCGTCACCTTCTAGAACTTGTCTGATGTGGCAGGACACGAAATAAAACGCTATTGGCCCCTACGACGCCAGCGTCGTGCCTCTAGGGCAATCATGCTGATGATTGTTGGTTCCTCACGGTCAGGCCAAAAAGCGACCCAAGCGTTACGAATTTTTGGAGAATGCGTTAGTTAAGTCCATGAACATAGACAAGGATATTCGAAGTTGGATCATTCATGCCTAAGTAGTGATAAATTGAAAAAGATAGCAAAAAGTGGGAAACGAATTTCTAATGTAGCGGGGCTTGAGTTACGCAGCGTTAGCAGAGGTCGCTTCTATAAAATCCACATGTTCAAACTAACGATACGAGCGATGTACAACTAAGACCTCGATTGTGTCGTTAGGCGCTGTTTTAGATGGTTGGCCCCCAGTACAAAACTACGTGTGCCTCCACTCCCGATTTTAAACCCAGATTACCTCACGTGCGCTGCATACGAAACCGCACGATATATCGACTGGCGTTCAACGCCTGCGAATACCCAGGCATAAATAACTGCTCATCGTTCTATTGTGCATCCTTTGTATTGTGCACACTGAGCGCCGAATGCTACTTATATTTAACACTATCCTATAAGCCTTTCCTGTGGAATCGTAGCTGGCACTCAAGCTTGCTCGGTTATTTAGTTGTCTGGGAACAGCTGTTCCAATTTCTACCATTTATCCCGTCTCTTCCGCTGCAACTAACCGGTCTTTCTGGAACTCTTGATCGTTAACCCTAATGAAGTTACCCTGCTATCCCACCGCTATCATTTCGTTAGTTTAAGGTGATACTGACTGGAAAATTCCATGTAAATATTAAGCCTCTTGAAAAACCAAACAAGTGCGCTATATTAAAACCCTGAGTATTCTCGATCGTTTTCTTAGCAGAAAATAGAATATCCAACTACATGAAAAAAATAATTATTTTTAAAAATTTGAATTTTGTACATTTTGTGAGGAGATTAAAAAATTAATTTTTGCATGTAAATGTTGTACACATTTCGACCGTAACAGCGAAAAAAGATTGTCTGCCCTTGGATGGCATTTATGTCAACGGGGAAGCTTTTGATATGTTTTAAGATAAAAACTATACTGTCAGGCACTTTATTTTGAATTACGGAACTGTTTTCCCGCGGTGTATCTATACACTACAATCACTAGAGCCGCTTTTACGTCGAGCAAACGTAAAAAACGTACAAATAGCAGTATATTTGTATTTTACTGGCTTTTTATTATGCTAAGCTTATGTGCAATCGGACGTTTTTGCCTAATGTGGTCGACTGGATAAAGTAAACTTATTGCTTCACTGCGATCGTTTTGATTTTATTAGCAGTCGTGAGGTTGTGTGTGCCGCGGGTACTCAGTGATGTGTGTGTTCCAAAGTGAGGCGCGTCAAATGTTCATATAAATAGACTGTGGAAGAAGATAACGATCGAACTCTACGTTCTTCACTTAATCTAGTACACAGATTAAGTGAATGCAAGGATTCAAAACTTCATAGATTACTTCACAGTTGTTTCTTATCTTAAGCTAAACTGTATTAGTTTCATAATGTAAAACATGGCCGCTGTGTACTGTTCTGTTTACAGATTTCCAAGTGTACGACTTTGGCCGTGCTAGGCATTGCCGAACGCACGCACCCGTAGACAAACGCATCCTAACGAATATATGCCTATTCTATTTTTCTAGTTTAGAGGCGTGCTTGGTACCGTTCGAACTCGGAACACATGTTTATGTTTTCAGAGTGAGCGATCCGATCGAAAAGCAGGTAAGGAGACGGGACTAGAATACAGAAAATATACACCACGAAGGCCTACGTCGGGACACACAGGCCGGCCCTCCTAGCAGCTCATGTGGGTTTCATGACCAATCCGGTATCCAAATTAAAATTCAAACCTATAGCTTCTAATTGTAGCCTTCTAATTAGATCATGCACTTGAATTTTACATGGATTTACGCAGTAGAGGTGCACTTTATTTACCTACAAACCAGCTAGGAAGGTCGTAGCTAACGGCGATAGATCCTTTGCCGACGAGCGCGAGAGTAGCTGACCACTTAATTTCATTAGATGTTACTATGGTGTAGAACTTCTGTTTGTCTGCCGTCCATTTAATCGACCTCAATTATAACTTGTTATAGAAACTACTTCACCTATTATTGCATTAATTGTTTTTCCTTCAAGGGCTAGAATTTTACGTTTAAATGCTTCGCATCGCTTTTAATCAATGAGTCTTGTTTTTATTTTGGATATATGGTACCCGGGACGTATACAGCTTTTCCGCAACGACAACATTAACAACGAAATATACAAGTTTATAAAGACTATGTTGACATAAGCTGGCTGATCTTGCGTTCTAATAGCCTGAATAGCCAGTCTGAGGGGTAGCATTTTCAGATATATCATACTTCACAAGCAGTTACCATTTATCAATCTTGGGCTGGATAAATATATTGGCACTGCATAAATTGCCTTAAGAGGTTGCTTTATACAGAAAAATCATTTAGCCCTGTAACGATTGTTGCCGTTCTCGAATCACAGACACACAACATAATTTACATAGACAGCCCTCTTTCGATCGTTGTCTCCGCCAACTGGAAATTACTTTGTCTCCTTCAAGCGTCGTCCCTAACCGAACGTTTTTCAAATAGACAATCCTCCCTACGGCCACAAAACATGATCTACCATATGCGCCATTATATCATGTTCTTGTGTCCTGTATGAGTAAATAAAAACTAGCCTCTAGTAACTAGTCAGTACGCATTGTAAGAGAGAACGTTTGACGAGTTCTACCGCAAGCAGGAATACTTATCAAGAAGCGTAATAAGGGATGGCGGGGTGTATACGTAGACGAAACGTTCTTCAAAAGACGAATGCAGGATGACTCACAGTCGAAACAATGCCCAAGCAAGAACAAATAGCAAGCCACCGTGCCTTGTCTTCGAGTGAGTTTGCCTCCCAAAGTTAACTGAAAGATTTTGAGCGGATTTCAAATGGGCGTGAGATATTACGTATATGTAGGTAGCGGGCACGAAGAAAACTAATAGGTTGAGCCGGCAACGGGTTCATATGTGGTCAAATAGACACAGTTGCTGCGAAGTGGCGACCGTAGAGTATAATGAGTTTATGATAATGTTTATTAGAGCTTAACTTTAAGTTGAGCTATTAGCTAAATTTCATCACTCGGTACATATCTTCGGCTTCTCGGTGAATCCTGCCGTAGCTAAGCAAACAATGGCGAATCTGTATTTGGTGATCTATGTAACTTCCCCTGCTCGGGTTCGAATATGACTTGGAGTGGCATTTGGCAAAATTTTCTAGCAAGCAGTCCCCATCCATAAGGTAAGCGATCATTTTATAGATGCGGTCGAGCGTCTCCTTGGTCCTCCGGCAGAGGAGTTTCCGTTTGTCCGGATCGCTTTCATGGCTGAAATAGGCGATAGCAAACTATTGATCAGTCAATATTCTATTATCTGTAAGCTAAAAATTGAACGCGTTTCACAAGCTTACCGCAGTTATTGTTATATTAACAGCTTATTTCTTGGACAAATTCCACCCACAGCGTGTAACACCGCTCATTGTTTTCCAATCGCCGTATTTACCTATAGCTGTTAATGAGCTTTCCGACGTCCTGGAGCTCTGGCAGGATATTGAATCTGACCTTTAAAGAGAAGGTATGCTCAAGCTTCATTCGTTTCTCATCAGCGCGCGAAACTCGTGCCCCCTCGGTGATCTCTTTGTAACTTGCTATCGTGTTCATTACGGCAACGATTTGGTGACCAACCTATGATCTCCACAGATATGACAGATACAGGGTAGATAAAGAATGAAATGAAAAGCGTATGGAACGGAGCACTTTCTAAACGTACTCAATGTTCATATTAATTTTATGATCTGAGACGGCTGACCGCGGTGGTGACACGCATGGATTTGGAGTACGGTCCACGAATGATTGCGGCGAGTGTAACTACCTAAAAACCGTATAATATAACAGCCATTTCTCTTACGATTTAGGTTGGATAAACAGGTTCAACTAAGAGCATTGCTATTCCCGGTGATCTACTCTAAACCAAAGGGCAGAATACTGACGATAGATATACATGTACTCTTAGTCTTTTAGTTGACTTACAAAATCCATAAAGCTATCCATAAGTACAGGTAATTTAGTTTTCTGTTTACGAACGAAATTGCGCATCTCGTCAATCTCAAGCTGTCTTGCCGCCGCAGCTGCGAGGTCGGACTGAGCTGAGGTAACGGCAGTATGGATGGAATCATCTAAGGCGACGGTAGACGCCAGCGAGATATCGCTGGACGATCGAATGACTGTTACAGCCTTGGGCATTTCGCGACGAGTGCAAGATGATGACCGTCCTCGATAGCCGCTGACGGAAGCCACAGCCAACGTATTGACATCGACTGGCTCGTTTAAGCGATTCTCTTCGGGGTTCTGCGCAAAATCACGAGACGAAGGCGGTACTGCATTTTAAGTAAAATAATAAAAAAGCAAATAATCAACAAATGCACAATTAATCATGTGTGCATTGCTTTTTCTTCGATGCATCGTATAATTTCGGCATATATCAGCAAGATAAAGCTTCTCGTTCAGAATTAAGGTAAATACATCCTCATATTGCAAGCAAACTGATCACTGTGAGCAGGTAAGGAGCGCAGGGAAAGTCATACGGCGAGGAGCACATAACTTCAAGTGTGAATTACGGAAGTTATCAAAAGTTAATTCTAGAACTGAACCAGAAGCGAAACGCACAAAGCCAATCAGTCGAGTATAATAAGGTGCGCTGAAATTACAAAAACGGTCACCGTATGTATTTGTATGAAATCACCTTTTGCCTCTTCGGTCCACGGCCTCTCGCTAAGTATAATTACAGGTTGTCTGACCTGTACAAGCCAAACTTACATCTAAGTAAACGAGAAACTCACATTAGACGGCTGTTACAAGATAGCTTACGAAGCCATTTTTCGATGAAGATGCTGTAATAGCATAAAGTTCGATAATGGCCACAAGGTGTTGGTAGCCCGCATACGCCTCGTTGCTCGCCTTGGTAATGCTTACAGATAGTGACATTGAACAGCCACTATAACTTATGCAATTAACTTAATACGCTTACAGTTCGAAGAACGCCACCGGAAAGGTCGCCAGTTGATATCGATCTCCTATGGAGCAATTGCTTTGCCAGTTACGTGATCTCTCAAAGAGAATACACCATAAAATATCTTTGAGTGTGTATTTGTTCATTCTTCCTGAGTTGCTTGAAGTACTGATGTTTGGCATCTATTAACTATTATTATTAGCTTAGTATTAACTAGCAACTACCGTATATAGGAGCTCACATATATATGCATCTTATCTGACGCGTGCAGCTTATTCAGTCTAGCCAGGAAACTTGGTTAGTTATTTATTGTATAATGTTTTTCCTAAACACATATTTCGTATATTGCAAACTATATCAATAGAAAATCAATCCGTCAGTGATCTGCTTCACGAGAACGCTTATAACTAAAATCTCGGTAAATACCATCATTTCCGTTTAACTTAAATATGTATCAACCGTCATAATAATAGTGCATCTACAAGTGGATCAACTCTAAATCATTTTCCTTAACAAACATTGCTTGTTAAGGAACTTCTATTAAACAGGCCCGCCTTAAAAAAGGACAAGCAAATCTTTAACATTTGCTCTTATTAAGCAAACATCCTTTGGAAGTGCAGTATTCTTCAAGTCGGTAGGTTTGACTTGTCTGTCTCGACAGCGATATCGTCGGGCTTTTTTTATCTGTTCCATCACTGTTCGCCCAAGATTTGTCTTGGTATCTGTCCTCGGTTTATTAGGCAGCTTTTTGGGAAGGCAGCTACCTAATCTGTTGGCCTGCAGCAAAGATCTTTACGGAAGGCTTTTTTCTGTATAGTTCTATTAAAAAAAGAAAGACACATGTAAACCTATTGCTCGAGAGCTAACAGCGAAAACGTGTAAGCAAAACTGGTCGTATTCATTGTCGCTCATTTGTCAATTTATATATATGATTCAATCAACTGTATACTCACTTTTGAAAAACTTCATTGATTTCATAGTGCGCGAATGCTCGCTTGAGATTGAAACTATGATTCCAGTATAAACACAAACGTTTATGGCCGAGGACGCTTTTTTTTTCCTACTTAAACGCTACTGCTCCTTCATATACGATTTACTCTATAATTGGACGAAGTATTAGTTCATGCCTGATATCTCCTAATGGGACCCTTGCCAACGCACTCCGCACAAACAACTAACTCACACATAACATATGTATTCAGCCATACACCCTGTTACATAGATTGCATTGAATAGAGAAAAGCGTCTACTTCTAGCAACCTCCTCGTGCACGACGCTGGCGGCAGGTGTCTAGAAAGGACGTTGTACGTGCCAGACTTGTCTGTACGCACGAGTCTCTGCTTGATTACGTGCATATGCATAACTCAATTAATTTGAAAGCTGCATTGGGACTTCCGCAAAAACGCCGAATACATGTTACCGACAAGCATTGTGTACTTGTACTTGTAAAGGAGCTCACCTATCAGGCTGTCTTGCTGCAAATGTCCTAGGAAAAGGGTACGCTTGCCTTCGGTACCCACAAATGTATCGATACGCTTTTCTCTGTTAGCTCCACTCTGTTTTCCTGTTATGATAACATTTTCCATCAAAATATTTACATCTGTTGTGCGTTCATCCCTTATTGAGTAGACGATTTATAGTCTCTTCCGGCTATCAAAATCTATTCGCATATGGCCTGCACGCCTGTAATGAATTCCGCTAAAATCTGTTAAACGAAAACATGCTTTTCAGGTATGGATCTTTTTTTCTTGTTAATCTTATCTTAGTCTATAATACAAAGCAGTTATAGAAATAGCTGTATGACAAGCTCAGGACGCGGCATCTACTAGTGCACTTCGATTATCAGTGCTGGGAGTGAATTGGGAGTATTTTTTAAGTTCTGGCACAAACTTTTCTTTTTTTATGGAAAGGAGGTCAATAACGTGTTTGTTCTATGCCAAAAATGGTTTCACTCACTTTTTCCTGTAATAAGCCTAACTCAAATTTTTGTTGTCTTCTAATTTATATTCAGATAAGATCATCTGGAGATCCTTTCATCGTAGACTGTTTTTGATAGCTACATTTGAGTTCTTTCCGTACTAAACCAGTAATGAAACATGTGTGTATATATATATATATATATGCAACATCTAGGTAGGAGGTAGAAAATTTTCTTTCAACTAATTACAATTTAGCTATTATCGACATGATTTCTTAGGGAATATAAAACAAAGAAAAAAAAAGAGCTACTTAGGAACTTTCGAAAACAATTTGAGTAAATAAACTATTGTTCCATGTATTTATGTTCAGTGTATTTGTGAAGATTTCCCGAGTCACTCGTAGAGTGATTCGCTGCGCTTCCACGCGTGACCACGCATTTTGTAAGAGTATTATATTTATAAAGCCAATACACTGACAGACACATCACAGACGCCAAGCAGGTCGTTAAAGTGACAAAGCTTACGTGATCATTCGGTGCATCTCCGTTTGACTCGAGGACTGTGGCTGATTCCGTACGATGCCGTTCCGGATTCGTTTAAACGGACAAACTGTCTTGAAAGCGATCTTATATCTAAGGCCTGCTATCTAGACGACGATGCTGCTAACTAAAACCACTATAGAAATCACTTGACTAGCCCGTCATTTGTTCGCTCGTCAACACTGATTAGCAAACATGCGACAATCGCCAAAAACCCGATTGCCTAACAACTTTAAGATCTTTGAACCACGTATACATCTACAGTCGAAAGCCAGGTCTCAGAAATACGCCTCAGTACCCAAACTCAATCCGAGGCATGCATAATGACATATGTCATACATAGTTATCAGACAGATCAGGAAAACACGAGAATAACTTGAACGTGAAAAAGAAATGGGGCAGCGCTAGTGGAACGTATAAGGCATCAGCAATATATAGCTACAATAGGTTGGTCCTCTAACTGTATAATGACGTAGGGTTTTACCTCTATGATCAATAGCTAAAAAACACTCACTCTGTGAGCTATAAAATACGCCTACGCCATGAAAAACGTACAAAATCTTAACAAAGAATGGATCCGACATATTCGATTCCCTGAAAGTGTTGAACTTTATTATCATGTTTAGGTGTCTTTCATTCATTACACATGAATATTGGTGTGAGTGGTAAACGATCATGGAAGTCGATGTTATCTTCCTTGTTCCTTGAAGTTGTTGCTTTTCAACTTACAACATTGTTTCCATTGCGTCAACTACAGGAATCCTTTTTCCCTTCTAATCAGTATCAATTGTTCAGTACAAGCGCTTTTCAAAACATCAGTCAACCTAAACAGGATGAACAAAGGTCGTATTCGTATCGCGGTTGTAGGCCTTCCGCGGGAACTATGGATCCACCTTTTACGCAGCACACACATCATGATATGGTAAAGGAACTTATACGGCTACGCTTTGAATCGTTTCCTTCTAGATTTATCTGTGTACATGCATGCATATATATATACATAGCTGACATGATCTAGCACCATCACACGGTACGAAAATTGCGTGCGGTAAGCGTCTATTGATCCCCGAAAGACAAGGTTCACTTGTTGTATAAGGTAAAAAATGGTAACTTCATTGTTTTTTCCGCAGCACCAGTAGCGGTCGATTACATAACGGTAAAGCCAATATAAAGCTTTGTCTTGACGGTAGTTCCACTCGTAACATTGACGAGCTTATGCTCGAAATAGTACATCATATAGTATTGGTAACAATTTGATTCGGAAAATTTGGAATTCGAGCCCATTTATTTTGGTATAGTACTGTGCTAGGTCCATCGATTTTCCCTTGCGTGGCGAGAAGCAAAATGAATGCTCGACCTCATCAACAATAGGAAAAAGTGCTCATTGGACTCCACCATCATCAGTAGCAATCATGATTTGATGGACCCTCAGTCGATCGGGTTCTCATGAATTCTCGGGCTTCAATGAAATGAAAAAAGTTATGGTCGTAGATTGTAACAACTTCGCGATAATGATGCTATGGGTGACACGATTTGTGCGCGGAAAAGTGTGGGAACGTCGTTTACGCTTGTAACCTCGCGTCGCACAAATAAATTTTGCTTAAATAGCCACATACTGATATAAGACAAAGCTTCGTCGGTCAAAGCTAGATCGACTTCGAGGCAAAATAAGACAAGCAGCGGGTATGCTTAAAAGTCCGTTGGCTATAGCTTCCTGAATTTTTTTGGAAACCTCATGATGCATATATAAACATTGCATGGAGATGTCTATAATTGTGTTTTGTTAGCGCCAAAGCTTTCGTAATATCAGTGCACGATGAGATCAACTTACTTAAAACCTGATCATAACAAAGATTACTGATGAATATTAGACCCAACCCATACCCACACTTATTTTTAGCATTAGCGAGAGTCATTCATTCACTTCCAACACAGCTACTTGCCCTTATACATAGCTACTTGGGAATCGCCACATATATTTCATGACAGCCGTCCTTTCCAATGGCTTTGAAGGACTTCTCATTACGTAGACAACAGTACCCCTTAGCTATAAACTCTACCCTCACTCGGATATCTTTCCGAATTTCGTACATTTCATGGCATTGCACTGTACTCCCGCGAAATTTCGAAAATACAACGCAAACTTAAAAATAAAAATAGAAATAGGTGAAAATGTAATCAGCGGCGTTTATATCGTCAATGGCCTTGAGGCGCCGTTAACGAAGCTAAAGAATTATAATAAAAATTCTGTTTCTGTATATATTTGAATGATACTACAAAAGGGTGTCTTTGGGGGTCGTTGCTCCACTTGTTTAGACGAGTTAGATGGGGAACTGGAAGATCGTTTTGTCACAATCTATAAATAGATGTTTTCTGCCGAGAATATGTGAATCGTATAGTGAACTTCGTGATGAACACATTTAAATATCCATACATTATATTTATATAAAACGTGTACGAAGACCTTAAAAATCCTGGGGTTGTGAAGGAAGACACTTGAATCCCCTGAACAAAATCACCCCTACGCGCTGATCCAAACGCTCTCTTTTATTTTATTCTGAGGACGATTAATCTAGCTTAAGTAGCTATTATGATGCTGAGTGTCGCGTTTAATAACATGACAGGGAACAATTGTTCGACGTTATAGAACCCTATTTCCTTAAAGCGATGCAACGGTTATGGTAATTATATATATATATATATATATATGTATATATATATATATATTCGTACGATAGTGTTTACATAATTTGCCTTTGAAAATGGAATTTCTATGTTATGCTTGGGAACGCTAATTGGTAACTTGTACTTATTAGTATTTTCAAATACGTAGGCTAGTGGTTTTGATTATTTCTTAGCGCCCATTATGACCACATTTTATCTAAGCGTGCTGATATCGAGGCGATATCTGGCAAGGACAAAGCTTCAGACTTTGATACGCTAGCAGCAAAACGATAGGTTTGGCCACATGCCAGTGGGTCTGGTTATTGACCCCATACTTTGTCGGTTCATCATTATGATGGGGTTGTGGTGTTAACTTTTATGGGATTACCGCCATATCATATAAGCGTTTGCTATAATGTTCAATTACCCATGGATGATGCGCACAGCGTAACACTCCGCTGATCAAATAGCCGAAACAATAACAAATGAATAAAAAAATTTTCTATATAAAAAAATATATACATTGTATATATATATATACATTATATATATATATATATATATATATACATTGTATATA